CTTCTTGATGCAAAGCAATTAGGAAATGAAATCTACTAACTCAGTGACTCAATAGCCCGATTGTATTAGAATGATTGTTACGATTACAGAGAATTGACCGAATGGGAGTATGGTCCAACTGCTAATACAAGAGCTAGTGTGAAGTATAATACTAGTGAGTATCAAAATGCTAATCCTCCACGATGGAATAAATGCTAGGAGTACTATTTATACCATAGGTGGGTAGGTGGAATGGAGGACATGATTGATTCTGTATGCCTGACCCCTTTGCCACTGGCAACATCCATGCTTCCACTTGAGTGCCCATACTCTAGCATTAAATGCACCCCTGTCACTTGCAAGGCTTTCTCGATTGGTACTTTAGGCTAATGTAATTAGTAGTCAAGAATGATGCTTGTTATTTGTCAAGTACGGAATCAGACACATTTGGGAATCACAGGGCGGTTCATACTCGGTTGGTGAGAGCCCGTTCGATACCCCAATACTCTGCCTGGTATTCATTGGGCTTTGCTGCTTCTTTTGAGCTTAAAGGATATTTTGGGTCGGGTTATTGCGCTGAACCCTAATATCCCAACAACATCAAACTTAAGAATACTAATAAAATAATTAAAGTGATGAGAATTAGTTTGAATCGAAGTATTTCGATATGCTATATACTCTGATTTTCGGGTGAGTGTGATTTATTGACCAATTACAACCTCCTATTCGGTACTTGACATCTTGTATTCGGGACCCAAATTTCCAATGTTGAAGTGATATCCCATAATAGACCTCTTTGTTATCCACCTTCAAAATAAGATTGTTTAAGTAAGCATTCTTAAAGATTTGAATAAAATAAAGAATGATACGGGGTATCATATAAGGCAAGAGCTTTGGCTGGGGAGATGGATCGCATGACCATAGTAATTGTCTTTCTCATCCCGAATGAGGCCCACTGAGCGGTGAAGGGTAGGAGTAAGGCTACAGATAGCAATATTAACCTTAAAAAAACAAAAGAAATGTAAGTATTTATACATTATTGTGAGTAGTTTTAATACATTCTAATAAGATAGACTTCAAAATACATTTTTATATTTTTGTCCTACAAAAAATATATTTTAATTCACATACTCACCTCAATTTTACTAAATAAAACAAATAGATCGTCACATATTGACATTGGGGTTTGAGATCCCAATGTTAACCTTTCAAGCTGAGGCGGAGCTAGATACTCTACACGCGCAGACCACAAACCGGACGCGAGATCTTTTCCGGTCCAGTTCGTCTCTATTTAAAGTCTAATTATCGGGCCCACCCGTTGATGATTTCAAACGGTTAAAACAAAAGGAAAGACGCCATCATTCACCTCTGACTATTAAACGTTCAAAACGAATACGTCTTTCCCGACTTTCCTTCATCCGACCGTTGTAATATCAACTTCCAAGAAGAAGAAGAAGAAAAAACATAACCTCTAAACCTCAAACCTGAGCGGAAGCAGCTTCCAGAGAGAATCGAGAAACGCGTATTGATAATGGGTGAATCCCTCGACCCAAAATCTCTGCTTCTCTCGCAGTTTTCGAGCTCCGATCAGCCGCAGTTTCTCCGGCTCACGACGGAGAGCTTTCTGTTCGAGAGGGGCCCGAGGTACAGAGCATATGCCGATCTGAGGGAATCGAAGCTCAGAATGAGGCACATGAAACAGCCGGTTTACATGGAAGAAGATGAAGAAGACTCTGTTTTGACTCCTCCCAAGAAACAGGTCAAGTTTCAGGGGAATCAGGGGATTCAGGGGAACATGGCCACCCCGCCGAAGAGAACGAAGAGTTACTCTGCTTTGACCCAGTCTGTGCCGGACTTCTCATATGCGTTGAGGAAGGAGAATCGGAAGCCGCCGGCGCCGATGCCGCCGGTGGTTGAGAAGTCGGTGACGCCTCCTCCGCCGGGGAGGAAAAGTGGGAAGCTTTTTGGTGGTGTTGGGAGTAAATCGATGAATTCAGGGGATAAGAGGAGCGGTGGGGGGTTGATGGCTAGGAAGAGCTACGCTTGTTTGGACGAATTCAAAGGGTTGGCTTCTGCTGCTAGGAATGCCATTAATGGAGAAAAAAGGGCTGCTGGGATTGGAAGAAGTTACAGTAGCAGAGTTGGTGGTTCCAAGACTGTCTTAGGCCATAGACAGTTCTGAAACTTGAAATGGGTGATGATGCTTTCTGGAGAATGGTTTTTCTTCCACAGTTCAATTCTTTTTTGTTTTTGTAATTCTTTCACAGTGCGTATATTTTTTTGTATGTTATTACCTGAGAGAATGGTTCTTCACTTCTTCTATAGATATAAGCTTCCACTGTGTATAGATCAAAGGGTTTGTTTTTTTTTTTTTAATTTTGCTGGGTTGAATAGTTCACTCCTATGATCCTATCCGTGATTTCATTTGGAGAATTTAATGCATCGTTTGGAAGTGTTTTTGTGTTCTGTGTGCAATTCTTTCTTTTGACCTTTGTGAAACCAGGAATAATAGAACTCAGTTGACATTGGGGAAGGGGTTGCCTAAAACGAAACATAGCTCATGCTGGTTGCGGGAGACTTATGAGGTTTGATGGTGATACTTGGTTTGTTTCATTGTTCGTCCCAACAGGCATTATATTTTGGTTGGTTCCATATTTTAGGGATGGGTTCTCTGTAGGGTTCTAAAAACAGGAATTATGCTTGTCTCCCTAGACCGTCTTGCGTAAGATGGGAGAACATGCGTCGAGAGAGGCTTTTTCAAGAGTGAGATTTCACAAAAAAAAAAATGTACTCCGTATTTTTCAAATTTCCATCGTATAACATGGTTCTCCTTTGACCTTATTTATAGATTACCAGGGTTTTAAAAAGGCGATCTCTTGTCGTAGGTGGATATTGATCGTGCAAGCAGGCTCGTGACCAGGGATGCAGTGTTATGGCGGTCGTGGCTCGTCTTCTACTGTTGTTTCTTGTCAATGGGCAAGGGTACACAAAGAAAAGACGGATAAGTTGTGACGGAACTTGGGTTTGATTCAGCAACAAGAGATATCAATGGAGGATATCGTCAATCAATACAAAAGCATGACTATTAAGGTTGATGAACGGCGGGCTCGTCCCCCTCCCGAGTCGCCGCCATGGAGTGCAAGAGAGTCTAGGGTTTGGAAAAATATGAATGAACTTTGTTTTAATTCCGTTTTATTTTGTTTGTGTTTTTGTTTGGAATTGCATGTTGTTTTGGGTGTGTTCTTATTTCCTAGCAGAAAGATTCTAGGATTTAGATGAGGTGATGAGAAGTCCGGTTTGCCTGTCATTGGCTCAGTGCTCATTACAGGATCAACGAATTTTATTGCTTCTACAGAGGTGATAAATTCTAGAATTAGACAAAAGGCGTTTTATTGTTTTGTTTACTGCTTTTTCTCTGATTGTATTGTAAGGCAAGTGACAAATATTTTGTTGATTTAATATATTTGTTGGTTTAACGATAAAAAAATTGCTCCTTTGACCTTAGAAAGCGAAAAAGAGTGTATTCGTGTGACAGGGTTTTGGAGTTGCGCTTGGTCATCGATTAGGATTTGGATGTTTAGTTTTTTCACTAAGAGAGCAGTGGGGAAAAGGAAGGCAACACGAGAGGTGAGATGCAAACCTTGGTCGCCAAAAACAAGGGAAAATATGTTCTAATCATCATGAACGGCGATGCAAAAGATAGGAAAAGGCCAGAGACGAGAAGGGATGACGAGATGAACAAGGAAGACGAAGTATTGACGCCCCCCCTCCTGAACCCCACCTTGGAGCGATCAAAGAGCCAGGGATCAGAGGCTGACCGAAGATCTATGCTCTGTCTTTCGTTCAAGTTTTATTTTTTGCAATCTCGTACGGTTTTATTTGGTTAATAATTGGGAGTTGTGAAATTGAGTGGAAACGATCATGCTAATCTGGCCGATAATAGCTTCAAAGCTCTCGCATGTTCAGCGATTAGTCTCGCTCATTTTGGGGCGGACTATTATATGTCAGATCAGAGAGTTTAAAGGGGAGACTGGGTCGATTGCTTGTCAATTCTCAAATCTCGAAGTCAACGGTAAAGCTATAGGGGTACCATATGGAGTGATGATCTGGTCGAGCTCCAATATTAAATCATGTTTACTTACCACTTAATTGGAAACATGATGTAATCATTCAACCAAAAAACTGACTTAATCATTAAGCTGGAGAATAACAGTCATTCCTATTAAGACGTTTTTTCTGTAAATACATTAAAATTGATTGTAGAATAGATTTATAATAATACATAAAAAAATCATTGAAATTATAATATAAGAATAATCTTAAATTGTTATTTTACTCGATTCAAACTATTGTTTAGATTGACTACATCTTATTTTCTCGAAGGTGTGTTATTAATTCTAATACCTTACTAAGATTGGGTTAATTCAAACAGGTTAACTTTACGGACTTCTCCAAGAATTTAAAGGTGAATTTTAATTTGTGTTTGGGATAAGTGAAATGTTTGAGAATGACAATAAAATCTCCATACTTAAAAAATCGATATATATATATATATATATATATATATATATATATATATATATATATATATAGTAGTCTTCTTGTCCAGCCAGCCTGACGAGAACCGCCGTCCGGCCGAGGGCATTTCGGGAACTTCCCGATGGAATTTTTTGATGAAATATTTTGAGCATGTTCTTCATGAAGTCTAGTTTATCCATACCAAATTTCAGCTCAAAATTCGATCGGGAAGGCATTCAAATAATTTTGTGAAGTTAACTGGGCAGTTTATATGTATGAACTGCCCAGTTAACTTCACAAAATTATTTGAATGCCTTCCCGATCGAATTTTGAGCTGAAATTTGGTATGGATAAACTAGACTTCATGAAGAACATGCTCAAAAAATTTCATCAAAAAATTCCATCGGGAAGTGCCCGAAATGCCCTCGGCCGGACGGCGGTTCCCGTCAGGCCGGCTGGACATGAAAAGTCCTCTATATCCTCTATATATATATATATATATGATAGAATCAGTTATCTAAACAAACCCGAGAGACAAATTAATGAAGATCATGGTTACAATGCAAATTCTTTTGACTACTAATTCCAAGAATCATATCAGAGTCAGCGTTAATCACTACAAAGCTCCATTTGTACAAACAATCTTCTTAAGATATTTCTGGAGAATGTTTCAGAGGTAATTTACAACTTCCTCAACCAAACTATGGAGTATAAGTTGACCAATTTCAGCACCACATTCAAACGCTTTATCAATCCCAAAACCAGTCCACTCCCCTAACGAATGACTCATGTCCCAATCCAACAGCTCATCATGAGCCCAGCCCTTCATTCCCATCCACAATTTGACCTCCTCAAGAGTCTCAAACACTAACGTCTCCTCGTTCGTGAAAGGTGGTAACTTTGCACACGCCTTGAAAACACACTTCGAATCCAAGAACTCCAAAAGGCAATCAAAGACAAACCTTTTAAGCACATTTTCATTTCTGGTAGTGTGAATGCCAAGGATGTCACTAAACCTCATTGTTATAACACATGATAGAGTTTCAAGATCTTCAAGAACAAAACGTGTTATCGAAAAGTTGCTAACCACTAGTTCGGCATTTAAAATTACCTCCTTTGCATAGTTTAGCTTGCTTCCTTTCCTCAAATACCCATAGAAAAGCTTGGTCTTTTCTAGGACTTCAGTTACATTGTTGGTAAGGTCAGTGACAAAAGATTTACTGGTAAAAGAAGTGTCCATAAACTTTGTTGGGGCAGCGGGGCTAAAGATGCCACTCATTTTGCTTGGTCTTACATTAAAACCATCTTCTTCAAATTGTCTATCTACTGTTAAGGCAGATATAAGTTCCTGGAGAAGGACAGTGGTGGATTTTCTAGGCAACACTGTCTTTGGGTTGAACCGAGATGTAAACGTGAATGGAGCATTGTTACTGCCATTCAGTCTTAATGTGCCATTTAGATCAGTGTCTTTTCCACTCATTGGATTAGAGCTAGCATATGTGTGCCCTGGACTCTCGCCTTGTCTAGCAACATTAATAGACCTTCTCTTTTGCACTGGGGATACAGACTTGGCTCTCCCATTAGAAAAATTTCTTTCGGCTTCAAAATCAAATCTTTCTGCCTTTACAGGCATCCTCTTTAAGCTTTTGTTCAACGAAACAAAATCTTTAGCCTCACTGGTAGGACCTGTTTGGTTTTGCTTTACTCTAGTGTATCTCCCTGGAAAGATTTGGTTTTGCCTTTGGGCTTTGTGCATCAGACCAATAGATGAGGTTTGTGGATAAGGCCTCCTCTCTATTTGTTCATGGGAGAAATATAAAGGCACTTTAGGCACACTTGTTTCTGAAGGAATTCCAGAAACTTCATGTTCTTCATTTGGTATGGAGTCCACAATGTCAAAAGAATGACCGCAGTTTCTACATGATGAAGGTGGATGCAGAGTGTCTGAGGCGGTAAGAACATATTTGCCCCTGCCCTTCTTTTGCATCCCTCCAGGATCAAGAATCTTATTTGCAACACCTATCAACCGGGACCGGGGGACGTTCCTTGAGCTTTTAACGGGAGATACAAGCTTTGGGTGGTGGAGATGCTTCTTCCTCGGCCGTGAAAGCATACTCTTTATGTGGAAAGCCTCGGATCCAAACCTAGTCACTGGCAGCCTGTCACTCATTCCTGTTTTCTGAGCCTTCTGAGGCCTTAAGTTTGCAACAATTGGATCTCCCCCCTCCTCAAACTTATTTTCCTCTTTACTACTAGTGGCAGAAGATTGATCTTTCAAGGAAACCTTCTTTGGGTAATCGTCTCTTGGGCGGGCTGGCATGGAATCCAGTCCCATGAGCCTAGCAACCAGTCCGGGAGACCTCATTTCCTTCTTCTTCTCAGAATAATAAAACTTGCTGCTCTTGCCAAAGTTAGGAAATCCCCCACTGTTCTCGTCTGCAATCTATATGGCATTCACAACTTCACATGATAAAACTATAAAAACATCAAAATATAATGAACATGTAGACACAAGTTCTCAATTTATTTAATTTGGTTGAGATTTAAACATACCAAACGGAGCTTTGGCTGCTTCTCATCTCCCCCGAACTTCTTAGAACCTTGGTTTGAACGATCTAACTCAAAAAAACAACAACAAAAAACTCAGCTCTTTGTAAAAGAAAGAACAAAAAAGAAAGACTTTTTACTAAAAGGCGTGAGATAGGGAAAAGAGAGGCGAGCTAACCTGGTGGAAGCAATTTCTTGGGAAAAAATCTCTTCTTGGCTAACCTGCGGTTCCAGTCAAAGAGCTGAAAGAAGAGAGCTACGCAGCCTCCTCCACTTCTTTGAGGCTTCTTTTCAGTTGTTGTGATAGCCAATGATGAAGCTGATATCCCCCCACTTTCATTCATTTTCAACTCTCAAGTAATAAAATAATAATACCAATCAATCTTTTTCTAGTTCTTCGGCTATGGTGGATTCTCCCAAGTCCCAAATCAACATCTCTTCTCACTTTCTTTATCTGCCGAAAAAGACAACATTTTTATTCAGCATTCTGCAAAAGCCACTTTCAAAAGTAAAAGGTCCCTGAGATAGAAAACAAGGTAATCATAGCCTATTTCCATCTGATACCGCTAAAGAGAAAATATATATAGTACGGAGCTTTTCACGAAATGTGTGTATGGTTCAACCTTACAGCTCAAGCTGACAAAGGGTGTAAGAGGAAAGAAGGAAAGGGAAATTGGCTATAATAGCAGACAAATCATAATCGTAATCTCAGACAAAGCAGAATGATCATAATGGTTTTTATTTGCATTGGACTCATATGGAATCGCCCACACTAGGGCTCCATACCAAGCCGGGCAGTATGGTGTAGAGTAGGGGTGGACTGTGATCTAAACTCTAAAGATAGGGACGGTTAGTAATATGGATTTATCCCAAATCTAGATGATTTTAACGGTTAAGTTAGTAGGGAACAAATTTTAACAGTTTTTTCAACCCTCTAAGTTGAGGACTAACTTTGTTAGGCTTTGTTTACGAATTTTACCAAACATAATTAACTTTTATTTTTCAAAATCATTTTTTTCTCAAACACTACTATTACTACTAAACATGTTTCTCAAATTATTCTTCAAAGTTCAAAAGCATTTATGAGCGGTGTTTGCAAACAAAGCCTAACATAGCTTCGCACCAAACTCAATGAGGAGAACAGTTATTATCAATCTTAATGATTAAGTCGGTTTTTTAACAATTAAGTCATATTTCCAATTATGCCGTAAAAAATTATGACTTAATCACTAAATGATTAAATCGTCATTGTCATTAACTCCATTAAGTCAAAAGTAAACAACCTTTTACTTAATTCGTATTTCATCAATTCAATAACCACCACACAAAAGATGTGAACTCAATGGGTTTTACTTAAATAACCAAAAAGGAAGAAGAAGAATATACTCCGTGAAAAGCAGCCGATAAAAGATCAGCCATCAAAACGGCAGCTCTTCTATCTTCTGTTTCTCTCAACTGCGGAAAGCAGCGTACGTATTATCAAATCGTTGTGGTCCGATTTTGTGTGGTCCATTAAGCTGGTTGCTGGTCACTAACTAATTGGATGTATTGGGTCACTATGTCCGAGTTCCTGGTGACACAACACAAGTTCACACGGCCTAGATGGTGGCTACATAAGTTTAACACACTTAAGGAGGTGTGGCCACGTGTATGTAGCCAATGCAATCAAAAGTGGGGTACATATTTGACAGGGGTTGCTTCGCGCACCCCCACAATTGCTTAACGTAACCACGGGCAGACAAATTTAGCCTTCTTAATTATTAATTAAATTAACTACAACTAAACGTAAATAAAAAAGTGATTGGCGCACCCTCTCCATGCTCGGCTAGTAGGCTCTATCATGTTCTTACAATTTTACATTAAATGTACATCAAATAAAATGATGCCATGTGGCAAGTATTTCCTTTTTTTTATAAAATGTCATAACTTTTTCATTTTTGTTCCGATTTTTATAAAAATTATACCAAATTAAATATCTTTTTATGATCTTTCATATGACACCCATATCATATATGTAAATTTTTTCAAAAAAATATGGTCAACGTCTAGTCAGATCTGATCCTATTTGTTTGAATCTATGTGGTTCGAAATAAGTTCAACTAAAAATATCCTAAATATCATTCACATCATAAATCTAGTCATGTAACATGGTGCTGATGGAGTTTTAAAAGGCGGGGTCCTCCACCTTTGAAATTAGTCAAACAAATAAAAAATTAAAGATAATTAGTTTACTAGAATTAAAAATGTTACTTATTCAAATCTATAATCTAATATAGAACTCCCAAAAAAATCTAATATAGAATTGAGCAAAGTAAAAAACAAAACATTTGTGTTCTTATAATATATAAGGTTTATATCAATCATCCAATACAATTGGAACAGGGTCTCTTATAACATTACGACATTCTGTAAACCGTTTAATTCGTTGAAGAAGTGGAGTATCCCATCCTGCAACACTACTGTCGTGATAGTAAGACCATGTCGTAATCACTGATGGCAACGGAGCATTGTCGTCAAGCCAAATCTGTGCATCAACGCAAGTTTTCATTTTATGCATATCATATGGTAATGTGAAAATAAAAAAGGTAATGTGAAAACAAAATGAAACAATAAAATATTGTTTGCTTACAACTATGTAGTGTTGTTGGGAATGAAGCCGAGCAATGCAAAAAATTGTCTTCGGAGGACTACTACCCGGGGGAGCGATCATGGGCAAACAAGTGACTGGTTCGTGGAGGTCAAGATGCACTAAAATAACCTGGTATAATGTTGCAAAGATTAACCCGGTGTGCGGCATGTGTATCCAATGTCGGGGTGGTGCAGGACTGGTGTAGTAGTTTATTTGCTCCCGCAACTCATCAACAGTGTCAAGAAGACATATAGGATCATACAGCCCACGATGACGATCTATTTCTTCCACTAACTCCCTTCGAACTCTAACCCATTCTTTTTCTCCCCATCCTAAAAGCTCTGCAAGTAAGCGATACCCGCAATGTCCATCTCCAATAACGTCCACAACTTTACTAATATGCTCAAGCATGAATGTCTCAACATCATTACTGAAATTAAATTGCATTTCGTTTTGGTTCCCTTTAATATCCTTGCCACGCCCACGAGACCCATGACGTGAAATTGTAGCCTTGGATTTTTTGTATTTCTTCTCAGTGTACTCCCACACGCTTGGGTCTCGAGTGGTTGATTTTTTTTTTGGCCTTCCCTTCGTTACATGAATCGGTGGCTCTTTCATAGTATTAAATTTTGGATTTCTCATCTCATTCCATTTTGCATGAAGTCTTTTTTTTCTTGTGCTGACATACGACCTGATTGAAACTCATCAACTATGGTTTTTAGGACCACATCATCAACACTTATATCATCGGCCTTGTCATCATCTTGTTCCTTATTTACATCCCATTCAACTCTTCTCCAAAATTTATGTACCATTGATGGATGTAGTGGACGATTATCGCGAATACAAGATGCTAGCTCATGTGGACATGGTAAACCATAACATTCCCTCCACCAATAATCATTGCATATTGGATCGTAATTTCCTTCTATGACCTCATCATGCATCTTTATTAACCTATTCATGCACTCATTTGACACCATGTGTTGAAGCTGGCTAAGTATTGGAATCTTATTCAATACTGTTGGAATGGTGCAACGTGACAATTCTAAAGATCCCCTCACTTCATCCAATTGATCATTCAGCAAGTTGTTTATCTCAGCAAAAACATTGCCAAACCCCTTAATGGATGAGGCTAATTGTAGCTTTAACATTGCATGTGCAGATTCCACCCTACATCACAAAGTTAATGAAATAAAATCAAAGAAATTATTCATAATTCTTTATAAATATGGAATCAAGTAGGCCTATGTACTATGCTAAAAAGTCAATTGAGTCCTCGTAATATCGACTTTTTCAATATAGTACGAAGACTTATTTGATAGTTTTCCCTAAATATATTTATTTACCTATTAGTAGTTCTTGTGCCAAAATGTGTGACATGGTCCGTCCACACTCTCACCAAATGATCATTGTACGGGTCCAACCAATTTTCACTAAGATATTTCATAAGGCCCCAACTTTTCTTCCATTTTGAGCTCATATATTTTAATTGCTCCTCATATTGATCGAGAGTGGTTGAACTAAATAGCTTCATGCATCCTTTTGAAAAGGATTCTTGGACTGTCTTCTTGTTGCTCAATTTTAAAGCTTTATCTTCTATGTTACGCTTGACATGTACAATGCACAATATATGTTTAGATTCTGGGAAAACTTCACTTAGTGCTTTTATCAAACCTAACTCTCGGTCAGTCACAATCGCTAATGGGGAACAAGGACATATTAACTTTAACTCATTTAAAACCCAAATGTAGTGCTCTCTGCGCTTGCAGCTCCCATCCACGCAAATGCAACAGAGAATGTCTTCAATGTACTTGTGAATCCCACTATTTCCAGAAAAGGCATCTTGTACCTGGTATAATTAATCAAGTATATTACATGTGATGTATATCACTTGCTTGAATGAATAGTTATATATAAGGGTTAATTACCTAAATAGGAGTAGAAGATAGTCAATAATCACAAATAGGACTATATTGTTTTTTAACTCACTAGTAGGACTATTTATGTCTGTTTGGACAAATATAACCTTGTAACTGTTGGAATGTTTTAATTCATAATGAAATCATGATAAATTATAAAAAACACATAAAAAAATTATACAAAATTAATATTTTTAAAAATCATAAAAATATGTTTTTTTATGAAAAATATGGTTTTTTAAAAATCATGAAAAATAAGATTTAAAAAATCATAAAAATAATCAAAAAATTATACAAAAAACATAATAACAATATTTTTAAACAATAATAAAATTTAAAAAATATAAATATTTTATAAATTTTTTATTATTTTTCTACGATTTTTATAATTATTATTTTATTTTATTATTAATTATGACTCTTGTCTACTTTTTACTCCTATTTAAAAGAGTGAAAAGAATGCAATGAAAAATACGTATGTTTTCAAATAGGAGTAATATGGTCCTATTTTGAAATAAAAATATAAGAAGTCATGTTTTTTATTTTTACCCTAGTTTTACTCTTATTTGGGGTAATTTCTATGATTATAACTTAAAAGAAAATATTTTACCTGTTTGTCTTGTATGTTGTGTCCATGATGAGAACATAAGGATAAAGACGCAATAATTTTAGTGAATCTGGATGCGCGAATATCAAGTCATGTAAATCTTCACTCCCGGACACTAATCTATTGGCCTCAAAGTAATCATACTTTGAAATCAAATGAAGTAATTGTTGCATGACCGTGCGTCCATCCATCCATTGCTTCTTAAGCTTGCATCTTGCGTTGTAAACCTGCTTTCTAGATGCATGTAACATTTCCAGAGTTCGCGAGTTGTAAACTTTGGAGAATGGGCTTAGGCTTGGAACCTGCCTCGGATAAGTCTCTCACCAAAGAAATCTCTTGCTTTGTCAATTTACCAGCAAATGCGGGACCCACTAAACTCGTTGGAATAACATGATTGTGAAATCCACAATTAACCTGCAATCGCCATAAATTCCGCTCCACTTCACTCCCATATAATGCAAAAGGGCAATCATTTTTTTTGTTCTTGTAGCTTTCTTTCCTTTATCTTGTTGCATCCCTGGAGCATTGACTTTTTTTGCAGCTCGATACTTCCCGAATTTTTCACATGCGAGAAGGACATTACCAAGCTTTTTAGAATTACTTGGCCTTGATTTTGCAATAGTTAAGACTATGTTTCTCTTATGGGCCT